ATTGGACAGTTTGTTTACAATAAAAATCATAAAATTTTTTTATGTAAACAATAAATTTTTGACAACATATAAAATCATTTTCTACAGAATCTAAAATAATTTTTTTAATAAAAAAATCATTGAATGGCGTCAAATGAAAATTTCATTGTATTGTTGTTGACGTGAAAAAGGCAAAATTAAATAAAAAATTTTCTTAGTTTTTTTTTAAAATTTACTATTAATTCATACATATATTGGTTTTTCGTACATGAAGTATTTTTAATTTTTTTGTTTGTTCATTCATTCACTCATTCATTCATTCGTTCGTTCGTTCGTTCGTTCATTGGTTCATTCGTTCGTTCATTCATCTATTGATTAATTCATTCTTTTGTTCTCTTTTCCACTTACTTATTCATTCATTCATTCGTTCGTTCGTTCGTTCATTCATTCATTTATTCATTCATTCATCCATCCATCTATTTCTTCATTTTTTCCATCATTCACTCTTCAAAAAATTCCAACAATACCTATAAGATATTAACGAAATTAAAAAAAATTTAAACTTGCATAAAATGCTTTATAATTTCTCGTTTTAAAAAAATCTTTGATTTAAACGTTCTCTTTTATTTGCAGTAAGGTGCCAACCAATCTGATCCACTTTTGTTTGCTGCCATTTCATCTCATTACCTAACAACCACCAACTCACAAAGAAATTCATGTCGTCTCCTAATTGAATTTGTTGTAATTGTTACATCAATATTATACGTCCGGAAAACTCAGCTGGAACATTTTTCACGCACAAACATCCACAGACCAGAATAAGCGGATGCAGATTTTTACGGTTGGCCGCCCAAATTTATTTCAAATTCTAAAACCGACGACCATTTTTGCTGACTCCCGTAATTTCCATTTATTTCTTTTCGGTGGGAGGTGATTTGCAAAATTCTTAAAATAATGACTTTTTTGGCTAATATCCATTTATTTTCTTGCTATATATAATTTTTTTCTTTCAAAGTTTGGTGGGGAAATGCATCTCTGGTACCCCCATTTGGATCCACCACTCTTGTGGACAAGGGAATCATGTTTGAAGTTGCCTTCTGAGTTGTACTTTTGTACACATCGGTAGCCTAAATCAATCGAATGGAAAACAAATTGTAACATTTGGTATCTTATATGTTTTAGTTTTAACTATTTTATTTTTAATTGTGGAAAATGTGTGAGGGAGTTTAAAAATGTGATGTTGGTGTTGCATCTTTTCATATTTGCGAATGCTGGGATGGGTTTTGGAGTTTTCACACAAAAGTTTAAAAAAATTTTTGTTTGCTCGTATAGTTCAAGCAACTTTGTTGAAACACTTCACTGAATTTAATTATAAATTGAATTTAACACTAAAAGTTTTATTAACTCTGAATTAATTTTCATGCTTATAATAAATATTTATAGTAGAAGATATAAATGTAATTGAATCTATTTCATTCTAATGGCAAAATTTATAAAGGAAACAATAAATTCGATCGCAAATTTGATAATAAATCAACGAACCACTACTAACCAATTTAATATTTATTCTTTCACCTAGAAATTAATTTTTTTCTTACAAATTTATACAAAAAAATATTCACGATTTTTTTGAACAAGTTTATTTAAAGAAGCGTGATACGAGACATGAAAACAAATGATAACCAATTTTTGAGACTGGCAACACAGCCAGAAAAAGTTTACGACAAACAACTTAAGACGTTCATTGAAAGAGTTATCATAAATTAATGTACCGTACAGACATAGTCTAAGCAAGGATGACTTGAAAATTTATACCAAGCTATTTATTTATGGCGTTTATGTTGTCAGTTTTACTCCATTGTTCCGTCTTTTAATGAGATGATGAATGGTTTTGTAACAATTCTGAAATATTTATCTACTGTGCATTCTGAATCATGGCGATAGTTATTTGAGTAATGTAATTGTTACGCGATGCAACGTTATCACACTGTTTCAATGAATTTCTAAGATTCTCTTCTTTCTACATATTAACATTTTTATGTAGGCCATATTATCATAATCATTTATCAAGTTATTCATTCTAATCTACAGCTGACAGAAAGCTAAAAATGTTCCTGCTGCTAAATGGACATTCCATCATTTAGAGATCCTTCCTCGTTGATATGTGAGACCACGTTCTCAAGATCAAGACGTTAATACGTCGCTAAGCTTATTAATACATCCTTAGTTTGTTTACGATGCTGGCGCTTCCATACTTTAAACACGAACTTTCAATTACATTTGGATACTTTATAATCTAGCGCTCAACCAAATGTCTTAGTGTTGATTTCAAATGCACAACTGCTGCTGACTGAGTGCAGGAGTAGGAGTCGGTCCGAGTCGAAGTTTTTGAGAGGTCGGAATCTGGGCCGAATATTTTTCGTCCAAGTCAAAATAAAAATAATGATAAATATTTAATAATAATTTTGTTCTAAATCTTACTTCTACTTTATACACTGTTTTATTATTAAATACGTATTATAATATAATAATATATGGTCTTTTTTTATTGTTTCACTATACCAAATTTCATTTATCAAACTCTTTATAAATACAGAATTATTTTATCTTTGACGATTTTACAATACAATTTTTTAGTAACTATCGATTGATCATTTGCAACCACGTGTGAGGAGTGTACGTTTTGTTAGTAGAATCAAACTGAAAAGTTTGTTCAAGAAGTATTCATATATTAAAATATTGAAATCAACTTTTCAATTTATTATTTTTTTCAATAATAAACACTGTTGATTCAATGCAGTATTATAAAAGTGACATGGAAGAGAGATGGAAGAGGCACGAAGGACTGAAGAATGACGGAACGTCATGCAGATCCATCACACACACACATACACACACACATAACACATACATAAACACACACACAGAGAGAGAGAGAGAGAGAGAGAGAGAGAGAGAGAGAAATACACACACAAACAAGTTATTCCATTTTTCGACATATGTATGTTGAACTTGAAACAATAACTTGCATACATATTTTTTTAAAAACTTCGCTTTGCCAGCAAACCAATGTTATAAAATAATCAATTTAATATAATAAAATGAACAACAACTTTAAGCAATTTTCTGCAACAACATACCCAAATAAATCTGCATGCAATGATATGAGTAGCACAACAAAATGTTACACCAACAATGAAGCATTTAGTTTTAGATCAAAATATCATACAAACATTGCTTTAATAATTCGTAAAAATAGTCTCACAAACTTTCAGACAAGAAGGAACCACGGAAAAACCATGGAGAAATCATCTGACCTCCAGCGATCGATGAACTCCATGTTGCTATAAAATGAAACAGAATTTTATATTGGGTTAAAAATATTCATTTTTATTTATCAAGAAGACCCGCGATGCACGTACAAACTGGCGCTATAAAGAGTCACATGAAAGAGGAAAGAGAAACACAAAACTAAAATTACTAGACCAACGCCGAACATACTGTGATTTTCATCAATAATTGCATTTCTGACAGTCTTAATCCAACATATATATGTATATATATATATAAATATATATATATATATATATATATATATATATATTTATGGATATATATAAATAAATAAATATATATATATATATATTTAATTTTTTATTAATTTACATAACATTAAGATGAAAAAACTGATTGACGTCGATAATATAAATTTTTTTAACGATGACGTAATAGATGAAAATAATGATGACGACGGAATGGAAATAGAGATGGCAATGACGTTGAAGATGCCCGAAGATGAAGATGCACGTGACGAGAGGCAGATGACAGAAGGAACGTGTAATAATTGACATCAATTGACAGTTCCGCCTTGTTGTACGTGATTTTTTTTTGTAGTGTGTTGTTGTGCTCTGTGTTGTCGGCTGTGTTTGTCGTTAGCGTTGTTTCTATGGCGTAGTGTCGTTTTCAATATATGTTATGTGTTGTGTGTTATAAGCAAAATTGTCGCTGTTATTGTTGCTGGTGTGTTGTTATAATGTTTGTCCATTGTATGCAACTTAATGCAACCCTAAACCACAATGATGAAGATTCATAATCACCATGGCGATGATATTGACGCTTCTTTTGATGTTAAGAATTTATTGAATTTGCCCAACCATGTAAGTCTCAAAAAACTGACACAAATGAGTTGTATGTATAAAAAATTTCTATTTATTTGCAACATGATTATGCATGCAGTATAGAGCTTTATTTCACTTTTGATTTCCAAAGAATCAATGGACGAATGGAAAATAAATTGTTTCATGAAAAATGATGGAAATATTCACAGTAATTGATTTAATTGGAAAATTAATATTGAGTGAATTTTGAATAAAAGAATTTTTACTCTAAATGGATGATGTAGAATTAATTTGTTAGATTAATGTGTTTTTTGTGGATTAATCAATTTAAATTTAAAATAAAACTTTTTCAATGTTGTTCGACCTAACAAGCGAATTAATTATAAACTTTAATGGGCTAGCAGTCATCAGCGTAACTTTCCTCGTTTAGTTGCACAATGTAACACCACATCAATGAAATTGATTCAAATCAAATCTTAGCTACATGGATTTCAATTATTAACTTTATTTTTAAGTTAGTAGGACAGCTTTCAGCAAAAATGCATGCTAAGCTCAACGACTCAGCAATCATCTTCAAGGTCTCACATACAACCTACAACTTCTGGTTCTAAAAAAGTCCAATTAAAAAATGAGCAGTTGTATTTTTTTATTCAAAATAAATGGCAATCAACCACAAGATAAAACCTGAAAAAATTAGAAGTTGAATATGACGAATTAAATTAAAAATACATCAAAAGTTTTCAATTACTAATACTCTGAAAATGTCAAATTTGATGACATATCAATAGAAGATTTCAAAGGAATGGAAACCATTGGTCAAGGTGGGTTTGGGACAGTGAAATTTGAGAAGTTGAAGAAAACCGGAAAATTCTGAAGAAACAACATCTTTTTGACGAAAATTAAATAGAAAGGACGGTGAATGAGAAGAACTTCCTGCAAGCCATTGATCATCCTCTCATCGTTAATGCCAAACATAACTTCTGGAATAACGATAATGCTTATATCGCTTTCGATCTTTCTGTAGGAGGAGAGTTGCAAAGAACACGTCATCTGTTTAAAAATTCGATGAAAATACTGCTCAATTTTATAGAGCTCATTTTTTTGGCACTGAACTTTCTACATGAAGTTGGCATAGTCTAGCGGGGTTTAAAGGCAGAAAATATCCTCATCGATTCCAAAGGCTATATTAAACTAACAGGTTTTAGATTCTCTGCTAAGTCAAATAGGACAAATTCCATCTGTGGCTCAAAAAATTTTCAGTGTCAAATACAACTTCTAAATAGATTGGTGGTCTTTTAGAGTTTTGTTGTTTGAGGCGCGGAGAGGATCGGTACCATTTGTCGGAGAAGCCAACGACGAACTTTTCAATTAAATGTTGAAAGACGATACACAATTGCCAATGACACCGTTAGAAGATTTTGGCAAAAGATCCGAACAGAAGACTTTGATGCATGCCAAACGGTAATCTATGTTTGTCCGCAAATAAGTCCATTTTAATTCTACTATTTTATAAATTATTTAATTAAAGTTCCAATTTTGAAAACATTTTAACTAATCCGAGTTCTTGAAGTCTTGCACTACAATAATAAGCAAGCGACATTAAAAATTATTTCCCAATTTATACAATGGCTTTGCTTGTTTGTTGAAATTCTAAATTGAACCATCCTTACAAAATATTCTAGTTATCTAAAAATTATGTGAACAAAATTTTTCAAAATTGCTTATGTCAAAGTATTTGAAGTTGTGCTTTTTGATTAAAGTTAGGGATTATTATTTTTAAAACGTGCGTCACAGCTGAAACTGGCTTTTCAATGTGAAGCTCTGCGTCTTATAATTAGTAATTGTCAAATTTGAGAGGTACATTTTTTCTGACGAATCTAGATGAATCACACATGTTTAATGCCATTTTTTAGGGAGGATGATGGTTCAAGCTATATAGCAATACATAAGTTTGTTTATGTTGGCTGTATTTTGAAGTGTTAAATCATATTAATATTGAACAAATTTTGCTGAATGATAAAGAGATTAAATTGAAATGTTTGGAAATTCGCCAATAAGATAATAAAATAATTTAAGACAATATGGAAAGACAGGAAATAAACACAACTGAACATTAGTAATATTAGAATGACAAAAACTCTAACAACATATTTTACTTGAAAAATAACTTTTTTAAAAGGATAAATTTATTCAACTTCTTCATTCAAAGAAAATTCCACCACTTGTGAATTGTAAAATAAACTTTTATGAAAAAATTCGAGAATGAATATTGTTGAAACTCAATTTAAAAAGCAATTTATATTTCATTATTTCTTTTTTTCTTTTAAAATTCAAATTTTGACTTTTAATTTGTGCAATTTATTCCGATACCTATGAGCAAATATATTCACACGTTTTAACAATAGTATTTTCTTCTTATTGGCGCCAACATAGTTCAGTGGCTAGCGTGTCTCGCAGTTGTTTCTCATGTTGAAGTGCCCAGATTCAATTGCAAAGTGATTCCATCCGTCAAGTGCCATGTTGTTGCTGTTGTTGCTGTCGTTATTTATGTTGTTGTTGTTGGTTGGTTGTTGTTGTTGGTTGTTGTTGTTGGTTGGTTGTTGTTAAAACCTCTGGGAAATGATTGAATAATTTAGAAAATGACGTAAAGAAGTTATTTGTAGACGCAAAAAAACAATGCAAACATTTTTAAACCAACGTTTCATCATGCAGGAATGAAAATTGAAAAATTGTAAACTCATAGATCAATCACAAAAACTCTGTGAAACAAAGTAACGAAGCGTAGGTACTTTAAACTAATTAGTTAACTGATGAATTACAATAAAAAAAAATTTAATGCCTACTATTTAAGCTAGATTAAAACTTATATATAATACAAATCATACAAAAGTGTTCAATATCACATAAAATTAGTTAGAAATGTATAATAATTTTATAATAAAAAAGAAAAATTATTATATTTTATGAAAATATAGTTTCATGTGAGGCGGTAGTGCGTCAGCCAAGTGTTCAATTTGACTCATGATGCTGAGCAACCAACATAATTATTGAAAGAAAAAACAGAAAATAATTTTCTATTTTAAGTTACTGCAACAACACATCTAGGTGTTACATTTCATTACACGCACACACACAGAGAAAGAGAGAGAGAGAGAGAGAGAGAGAAGGAGAGAGAGACAGACAGACAAACACACACACACACAATCACCCACACTAAATTAAAAATTCTGATATATATATTGTGTGTGTGTTTGTGTGTGTGTGTGTGCTGTGTGTGCATGTGCGTGTGATTGTATGCGTGTGTGGGTGTAAAAATAAAAAAGATGAACGTGAGAGAGAAAGAAAAATATAGAAACGTTGCCAACTCGGAGCTGAGAGTTGTTTGTTATTGTAGTTTGCTGTTGGGAGAGCGGTGCGTCTGTTGTTCTTATGGATTAATTATCATCGTCTGAGCAGCGTGACAGTTTGCATGAGGAAAGATTTTGTAGTGTTTGATCTCGTGTGCATTTGCAGTCAAACTTTTCCTCTGCATATTTTATTCATCTAGTTTTGTTCTTTACTGCACGTGTAACGAGCAGCGTGTTTATGTGTTTAGTGCGTGCGTGATTAGCAGTTTTGTGCGTGTGTGTTTATTGGATCATGCATAAATACTGTATGTGATGTGCTGGAATGTTGCGTTAAGTGTTTATGAACGTGAATGTTTTTATAAGTTTGTGATTTTTTCATGGTAGTTTTCACGTGTGTGTGTGCATGTGTGCGTGATGTGTGCGTGTGTGTGTGTAATCAAGTTTGAAGACGTGCATGCATTCTAATAAATTTCTTCTTGAACGTGCAAAGAAACAAAAAAAGTGTTGAAGAATAAATTTGAGATGTAGCTTGACCATAATTAGATTTCAGAACATAATTTCGTCCGGCCAGCATCTCAACATTGGACAGAATTCATTTATAACCATCAGATATAACAAACACTTTTAAACATCAACTTAAACTAAAAAATTCCCAGCCAAATTTTTGTGAAAGAATCTCGACCCAAAAACCATTGATCAAGGTAAAAACTTAAAAAATTTCGTCATCTCCTTATAAAAAATAGTTCAAACAAAAACACAAAGAACTTAAAAAACTCACACAATAAGTACACTGAACATTATCATCATCGTCGTCATCATCATCACTTACATCGTCATCATCATCCACATCTTCATCATCGTCCTCGTCATCATCATTATCACTTACATCATCCACATCATCATTTACATCATCATCATCATCACCATTTCCATCATTACCATTATCTTCTCCACCATCACCACCATCATCATCAACATTATTAAACAACCTAAAAACTACTCCAGCCAGCTTCACCACTACCTTTATTCTATTTTTAACTTCCAGAGTGAAAATTGTAAACTCAATAGTAATAAAACTGTGACAAATGCTTTTTAAATTAACTGCCATGTGAATGGTTTGTATCTTTACACTTTTTAAAAAATTGCGTGTGCGTGCGAGTGTTTGCGTACGAGTACGTGTGTTGGCCAATTTATGTTTTTATATGAATTTGCTTGCGTGTTTGTCTGCGCGTTAGTGTGTGTGTGTTTTTGTGTGTATGTGTTTGTGTGAGCTTGTTTGTGCGTGTGTGTGTTAGTGTGTGTGTTTGTTTGTGCGTGTGTGGTGTGTGTGTGCGTGTGCGTGTGTTTGTTTGTGCGTGTGTGTTTGTTTGTGCGTGTGTGTGTGTGTTTTTTTGTGCGTGTGTGTGTGTGTGTGTTTATTTAGCACAATGTTAACGCTAATCAAAATGATGAAAGCTCGGAGCAGCACATTTTCAATCCGAGCAAAAGTAGAGTAGTGCAAGAGCAGCATAGAACAAACAACATGCAACTAACTCACCTCAAACACTGTTAATAATGAATGAGTGGGAGTTAAAAATTCATGAAGTGGTTGGTGGCTGGTCTGGTGAAAGGAACTTAATGTGCTTGTATGTGTGTTTGTATGTGTGTGAAAGTGTGCGTGAGTGAGTGTGGATGTGAGTGTGTGTGTGAGTGTGTGAAGGATAGAAAGAGAGATAGAAACAAACAAAAAGAGAGAGAGAAAAGGAAAGAAAGACTGTGTGTGTGTTTGTGTGTGTGTTTGTATATGTGTGTGTGCGTACGTGTACATTGTACATTGTACATATGCTTCTGCCATCTATGCATTTATTTTTAACGAATGTTTGACTGTGATTTCAAAAACCGCAGAATTGTAATGAAGAATATGGAGGAAATTGAGAGGATGATGATGATGACAATTATTATGGTCATTATCGTTATCATGTGGTTATTAGAACGCCATATTAACTACTGATTATTTTTGCAATGAGTGAGGTGTGAATGAGTGAATGAGTAAATGAGTGAGTGAGTGAGTAAATGAGTGAGTGAGTGAGTAAATGAGTGAGTGAGTGAGTGAGTGGGTGAGTGAGTGAGTGAGTGAGTGAGTGAGTGCGTGAGTGAGTGAGTGAGTGAGTGCGTGAGTGAGTGAGTGAGTGAGTGAGTGAGTGAGTGAGTGAGTGAGTGAGTGAGTAATTGAGTGAGTAATTGAGTGAGTGAGGAGTGAATTAATATCACGATTGAAACCATGATTACTTTACTACCAAAAACGCCGGCAGTTTTCAATATCCGCCAAAAAAATGGCGACAATAACGACATTTATCTTGTTGTCAGTAATGGTAGTGAATGTTATCTGGATAACGATGACGACGATAATGATTATTATCCCAATTATTAAAACAGAGAAAAACAAAATGTCACACAACGTCAGGTTTTATCACATAACGTCCCATTTAAAAGTCACTTCCACCTTAGCATCAGCTTTTTTCATAATATCATACGTTCTTTGTAATGAAACAAATGATTTTTAATAGTATCTTGATAGTATATCTATTAATCAGTCGTGATAGTATACTATATCATCATAATTATCAGATGTAATCATAGAATTGTATGATATACTTCAACGTCAACTACATTAATCAACATATCAAATCGTTAATTGTATTGTGGTAAATACTTTTAAAAAGTATCTTAATCCTATCCGTTAATCATACGTGATAGTATATCCGTTAATCATACGTGATAGTATATCCGTTAATCATACGTGATATTATATCC